AAAAATCTTCGTTTCGAGGGCTATCTAGCCCTTCCCCGTACCCCTACCCCTCCAATCAAAAGAGAATTGAGACACCCCTACCCCTACACGTGAACGCGCCAAACGGAGGGGTAGGGGAAAGTGTAGGGGTAAGGGGTAGAATTGGGATTGGGCCTAAGTGTCAAGACTGGGGAACACAGGACTGGAAGGCACCATTATACAAAGACTAGCAAGGGAATAGAACGAGAGGCAGCTGGAGTATATTAATTAAGGGTAGGAACGAGAGGTAAGACTGATGCATAACAGGTGTGGTTTGTTAGAGCCACACTAGAGAGAAACTGGAGGGGCAGATTGGTAGGGAGTGAAAGAGAACACAATTGCTGTTTCATTTGGTGTTTATTTGCATAGAATTTGTGTTCAATCAGGCTCATTATATAATTTTAATATAACCCTCCATGAATCACTACCTTATCGTGGTGGAGGGGATTGCATGCCGCCACGATCCTAGGAGCTTTGTTGTTGGGGTCAATTGCTCCTGGTAGGGACTCCCAAGGCAAATTGGTCCTACAGTAGGTGATTGGCCATACTAAGTGCAATTCAGAATACCGCCAGGATGATAGAAAATACAAGGGACTATATTACTCCGTCTGGATTGGGGATACCAGGGTCTTGCCCTGGAGCCAGGCCTGGGACGGGAGCTCAAAGGCGAGCAGTATAGCCAGAAGGGAAAACATGGGTCCATCCTCATGTGGAGACTCTAGTGGGAAAAGAGCCTGAGTTGGTGTGGGAAGTAGAGAGATACTGACTTGGACTCTGGAACCAAACTCTTGGAGAGGGGCTGGACTCTATACCACTCTGGAGTTGCCCATGGTGAGAGGCAGAGGTGGGTCTACTTATAGCCCCCCAGTTTGGTGCCAGTGAGTTGGAGTTCACCACGGTGAATGACAGGGTCGCCTCCCTTTGACATTCAAGTTGGGAGATGGGCTCTGACTGTTGTCTCTGCATGTACACTGAACACCAGTTCAGAGTATCCGACCTTCTTGGAGAAATGGATGGGGTGTTGGAAGGTGAACAGTTATTGGACTTCTGTGCTAACCACAGTTTGTCCATAACAAACGGCATGTTCGAACAGAAGGGTATTCCTTAGTGTTCCTGGCACCAGAGCACCCTAGGCCGCAGTTCGATGATTAACCAGATTTTGACTGGAAATAGCCTTGGACATTGCCTTTCAGATGCTCTATGACTTGTTTGTATATTATGTGAAAATTCTGAGATATGGCCTGTCAAACTTGGCTCATAAAACAAAATAACGGTTTTCAAAGTGCCTTATCTTGAAAATGGTATAGTAAAAGTTGAACACATTATGGGAAAGTTGAATACATTATGGGAAAGTAAGAAATTAATTGTATTTAAGTACATCCTGTGCTTCGTATATATGAGTATTCACCCTTTTCTTATGCGCGGTCGTTTAGTGTTATTTTCCTAAACGCGAGTTGATACCGTAATGTCATATCTATGCGTGCAACAAACATTTAAAACACGGATGATTTGACTGTGTATCGGCAAAGCTTGACCACAGTGAGTAATCGATTAGAAAGCACTTAATTGAAGCCTTTTAATAATCGAGTTTTATCGAGTAATTGTGACAGCACTACATATCACCATAAACAGAAAATGTTTTCTTGGAAACAGCAGAATTTTGTTATAATTATTTTCTCCTGTTGTCACAACAAAGCCAGGTAATAGCCGCATCAAGTCATCCTCCTTTCCTGTTCAAGATACAGATATGAGTAAGACTGCAATAACATATATTGCTGCCTAGAGTAAATAATCTCAGTAGGTTTACGTTGTCACCATTGTAATTTAAAGTGTATTTTAGGTTAGAGATCTGGATACTTTGCATGACATTGGAGTAAACACATTATACCCTCGCCACCAGCAGCCTGTAACTTATAACGAAATAAGGCAGAATTGATACCTGGATTTATGCAGTTTACATCAATTACTATTTTTTCTACTCTTCAACTTTCCAAGACATTTTTCATTCAGTGATGCCTGTCTGCACACCAGTGTTGTACTGAGCTGTTATTTCTGCATCTATACATCACCTGTAATTGGTCACAAGTCTGGTTATTCTAGTTTGACCTCCCTTACGAACAAGGTAATTTTGCCCACAGAATTGCCATTTACCGTACTGTATGTTTTATTTACGTATATTCATACGTCTTATTCGTGCATTCAAATGCTGAATTACTTGCTATGTGCACACTATTTGCTGTATGTCTTTCCGTAAGCAACTTGCCGCGTTTGCCGACGCAGATTAGTGCAATCATGTTACAGTACATTGTTTCTTTTTCTGTAGAAATCTAAAGGTCGATTTGTGGGCCAGACTTAGTAATGACTGAATTGTGAACATGCTGCGGGCGGTACTTTGAGATCTCTTATAAGTGGTGAATGAGTCGACGAGATCCCTCGTTCCCCACTATAGAAAATGTCTATAGTACAGTCATTTCTATTATTTCAGTAGTAATGTATTTAGCTTTGGTGCTGCCAAATTTGAATCTTGGAAAAAAGTATTATTATTATTATTATTATTATTATTATTATTATTATTATTATTAATAGAGATATTTTACCCACAATATCGTGCAGTCCTATTCGAGTTATATTATCCAGGTTCATCAAGGGGTCAGTATTATTATCTATGCTAATAATTTAAGCTATTAGTTATAGCTATACGTGTACTTATGGTAACAGCACGGCGCTGGAGAACTTATTAAAATATCTTTTTTTATCTGCCCAGTGCCTCCAGTGCTCCTCCCTGAAGGCGCGGTTACCAACGACACTTAAAGTTTCTTCGGTTGGGAAGAGGGGGTGGATCCGCGAACTCCATGTTTTTTTTGATCAAGCTTTTAAGCTTTAAGTTAAGAAGTTTGGCAATTCTCTCTCGTCTCATTTCAATATTTATATATGCATATATATATATATATTATTTTTTTAAATATCCAGACAAGTTTTTAGCTAAGCTGTATTTCGCTCCGTCGTTTTAAATTTGGCTTGTGGATTCAGACTGCTTGAGTGTTCAGCTTTTAAACTTCTGTATATAGACTGTAGTGCGAATAGTTGATTTGAAACGGTTAAGAGAGCCGAACAATGTCAGACAGCACAGAACCTAACAATTCAGGGAGCCCTAAGGAGAGATTCATCAGGTACTCGCGGTCCAGAAAAGGAGGTATTCTACTCGCAGAAACTGTAAGTAGGCTACCGACTTCCTACAGTATATCCTTGATAACAGTGAAATAACCTTTTCTTCTTTGGCTGGGTTAAATTTGCTTGCTTGTTGGATCCATTTATTACATTTTTACGAAGCATCAGAATAAGAAATAGGACGATACAACGCAAGTCAGTATTCGGAAGCTCTGGTAGCGGATGCATAAAGAGATTTGTGTAGATGAATTAAGAAGTATCTCCCTAAATGCTGTTCCGGTGCGAAAGTATGCCTATTTTATGGCATCTTCCATAGTTTCACACAAAAAGTATTTTTTGTGTGGCAAAATACTAAATAACGACAATAAAAGGCAGTACGCCTGCACAGATAGAGTAAATGCGCCGGAAAAGTGGTCGTTATGAGAAGGGTGTGGTTTTGGCACTGGAGCGTTTTAACGCGCGGGTCTTTCGTGTTGCATTCAGATGGAAAGTTTTCCGGAGGTTAAAAAAAATATCAAACGTTGAAATAGCATTTCATAAATTGTGCCGTTTGAAATGTTCTTACTTGACTATAAAAGAACGCTTACAAATTTCCAAGGCAATTAATGAGATGTGGAAAATATTCATATAAAATGCTAAGTGAATGTTATTTTCCGATTTGAAATTGAAGGCGATAGGGAATGGAATATCTATATATGCCTTTACCCGAATGCATTTACATAAAACGTGTGTAGTAGGTGCTGCGATTTTGTTATGACCTGTTGAAGAAAACTTGTGCTCAACTGGTGTATACTCCACCACATAAATTATTTAAATACCAATAAACAGCTATACTAACACGAGTGTCCATTAGAATATGCTGATTAGATAAGTCGGAAGATATCTACAAACATTTAAATGCATCTAATACACTGATTTAAGTTCACGGATCAGGAAATGCAGTGGCTGAGATTAGACGATCAATACTAAATTACTTTTTTACTCTGGGGTAGGAAATCATATCATATTAGAAGGAAGGCCATAACATTAAACACGATGCATAGGTCCTTACTTAAACCTCTGGATTATGCTATTTTTAGATTTTGAAGTAATCACTGACATTAAAAACGACTTAATCCAAGGTGGAGTCTTGTACATCTTTTTATAAAATGCATCTGCAGGATTTCCACTGGTACTGTTCCCAGTTTTATTTGGTTTTCTTAGAACACATGTATGGTGGGAAAAGGAATGGAGCTGAAATGGGCAAAACATGGCCACATGAATTTACAGCAGCAATTTCAGTTGGGTAAATGCTGCAGTTGGCCAAAGTGGACAGTTTTTGGAATGGAAAGTCCCCCTTTCTGTGGAAAGATGTATGAGTCACTTCAGTTTCATGCTGCTGTTCTGGCTGGCAGCTTTTTTTTTCCATTTTCAAGAATTACGTATATTACAGCAAGTGAATGTGATCACTCATTGCTCTTGAAGCACTTTTTCATGCTGCCAGTTTACAGTGCTGAATGGCAGAATTGTGTAGTTACAATCTATGCTTCTCTGTAAACTAATAGATTAAATTGAATGAGTTGTTTATGAAAGGAGGTACCAAAACAGTCCAAATATTATTGTAGTATAACAGATCTCCATTTGTGACATAATAGGATATAGAATACAGATTATAATAATGCTCTGTAAATACCTTTAAGTGGCACATCCGAATTTAGAGGATGGCTTCCTGACATTCTATGCCAACGGGTGAGCTATTTCCAAACCCAGCCTTTGACTCTGCTGACCTTCTGGTAACAGTTTCACTCAGCACAAAACCCTACCATGGGGTCATAGTATGAAGTAAATGTCTACATGACAGCACGAGTGACTATAGTGGTATGGTTTGTAGAGGCAATATCTGTAATTACATGTTGTGTTTGAGCTTCAAGGGTAATTCTGAGGTAAATTGTTTTTTGTTTTTTATTTGACTTAAAGTGTGCCATTGTGTAACAGCCAAAAAAATCACCATACAGCCAGTGTTGAATGATAGGTGAACTGAGGTGAGGTCTGGAGTGTCATGCACTGCTGGAGGTTGTAACGTGTTGTAACATACTGCATTGGATTTTTGGGTGCAGATACAGATAAGCAGAGGAGATTCTAGGGCAAGGGTACCCAATCTCATCCACAAAGGGCTGGTGTGTATGCGGGTTTTCGCTGCAACTCCCTAATTGGATTACTAATTAGAGGACTGATTGGCTGAAAGAATACTCACACCTGGGTTTGAACAGCTGACCTACAAGTTATCCCAAAAACCTGCATACACACCCGCCCTTTGCGGATAAGATTGGGTACCCCTGTTCTGGGGCCCTTGGCAAAGAACTCCTTTGGGCCTTTCAACTCTCCCTCCACCAGTGTGGTAAAATTTCTTACTTTTATTTTACTGTGAAGTGTACATTTATAAAATAATCAAAGAGAATTTAATAAACACAAGACCTTTGTTTTCACTTTTCTGACAAACAGAATACACAAATAAAGCAGATTTGTTGTTGCAATGTACTATGTAATTGGCCATTGCCTGTCCTGTCACTGCACCTCTGCAGATAAGGATGGATACATAGATAGAGATGGAGTGAAGGAAGGAAGTTCCATGATCCCAGATGAAATTTCAGGTGTTACAGAAGCAAAACAGTACAGTTAGGTTATAGGAGGCACACTAAACACCCTGAACGTTTGGAGTGAGTATGTGTCCCGTACCACTGTACACAGAATTCCCAGTTTAGTACAAACCTCAGGTTGTGTTCATGGTTTGGTGCAACTTCAGTACAGCAGGGAAAACAGAATTTGTTTTGAAAGTAACTGCAGCGATAAACACAATTTCCTGAATTTCCTGGCAAAGTCACCTTAAATGCCATGGGGAGACTAACATGCAGGGGCTGCCCTGCCCTGCTCCAGTCGTACACACACTCGGATGATGTCTCAAATGAGTTAGCATGTTGAATATGTTTCCAGCATCGTATCTAAAGTGGCTTGGGCTTATCCACTTGGCATAGTCTCTTTCCGGTGCTACTGTAATTTACTGGGAAACAAAAACTTTCTTAAACCACCGATTATGACTCACTGCAACCAGCTGTAGCCGTAACTAACTTACAACCGCAGTTAGCATAATGTTTTCTGTGTTAAACTCACAACTAGATGTCTAAGTTCCACCCATGTCAAATGTATTCATTCGTCATTGTGTGTACAGTACCAAACCGAAAGGGATATATCTGAACAGCAAATGGCAGATATGTGTGCTATTACCCATACAGTCTTCATGGACGGGTGTGCCTTCTCTCATCCTTCCCGAGCTGCTGGCATCTCGCTTCTTCCTTCTCTGATTCTCATTTCTCAAGCACATCATTCTGTTAACCTCTGCATCTCCAAAATGAAGTGTTATGCAAAAATTACAGTAAAGTATAGTCATAATTAGTCATAATGAAACATTGCAAAATATAGCTTCTAAAATTTAATAAGGGGAAAATATCTGTAATTACTTTTATTTATTTATAGCGGGTCGGATCGGGTGCGTAATTTTATTTTATTTCTGTTGGATAACAGTTCAGATACGGGTTTAAGTATGACAAGAACAGGCGGGTACGGTTTGTCAAAATCAGACCCATGCAGGACTCTGCTGCCAGGTGCAGCAATAATCATATAAATAATTTTCATATAAATGATATAAATAATAAATTATTTGACGCGACTTGATTACGTCATTTTTGCGGGCGAGGAGCAGAAATATCTGCGGTAGGGCGGGATAATCAAAATCTCTCCCGTTGGCCAAATTTATATCGTATACCGTTTATACCGCACAGGTTATTATATGTTTTAGGTGTCTTATTTTCATTATGTAATGGTAACTTAATTTCATTGCTTTATTCTGCAGTGTTAACACTTTTGTCATTGGTTTTACACCAAATCAAATTTGATCGCACATTAGTCAATGTGTCTTAAATGTAAATTGAATAGCATAGAATCCACTTGGGCACTTGAGAATTGAAATTGAATCGAATTATGATGTTATAATGTCCACATGAAATGCCATGTTGGTATTAACATTGCACCAATTACAATGTTTATTATTATATTACTGTATGCATTATATGTATTGTATTATAAATGAGTACCCGATGGATAGTCAGATTGATCGGTCGATTACTCGACTAATGATATATTTGATAGTGACAGCCATAATTGTGAGGTCAGTGCTGATTCCCAGCCCTAAGCGATACCTGTATGTTCCTCAAAAATTATATAATTTATGTTTGGGGACATATCTTTAAGTTAAAGTCCTCCTGAAACATGGCCTGTGAGTTTGACTTGCCTATTAGTATTTTCAGCTGTTCTTTTCAGTCATTTTTTTAAAGTTTTAAGTCATTTTTTGTGCTTTGAAAGAGACAGGATGGTTTTGTTTATAGAAAAGTATACCCACATGTTTCTCATATATAAAAAAATGGTATACATGCCTTTGGCCTTTCTTTAGTGGTTTTCACAATTTGTTTCCAGTGATTTTGCGTTTGTAAATTTGCAGTCCATTTAGAGCTTTTTAAACATCTCTTCCAGTATGGAAAGCTGCTATATAGTATTTCATATCTTATTCCTATCGGATTTATATTGAATCGGATTTGAATCAATCTGAATCGAATCATTAGCTTGTAAACTGGAATCAATTCAAATTGGGGCATCTGTGCCAATGCCCAAGCCTAATGCAAATATACTGTAAATATAGTGTAAAGTTTAATTGTGTGTCACTTAAAATTTGATTGGGGATTTTAGAGATATCCTTCTCAGCACAAAAAATACTGTAAGATTCAACTATTTCAAATAACAAAATTTGTTGACCATTGTTGTCAATGAGGTAACAGATGAGGCCAAATTAATATCAGAATCTGTACTGAACAGAGTTTTAATTAATCTCTGCAAATTTCACTTTTAATGTTAAAATTATTGGGCAGTCAAATGGTGGATTCTACCCTAAGCATAACAGCAAAATTTACCTAAAGGGACCGGAGTCACAGAAGTCTATTGAAGGGAACCCTCCCCCA